GTAGGCAGGTCAGAGAGGGATGGGCTTGAGTTCCCACTCCCACCTCCTGCCCCTCAGGCTAGCTTCACGTTGTGCATCCTTCTCTTGTCCCAGGCGCTCTGCCTGGCCACATGCCGGGGGTACAAAGGCCCCTGCTCACCCCTCCCCCTGGGCCCTTGGCCCTGAAACCAGGGCGAGTGGTGAGGATGAGCCCTGTACCCTCTCCTGCCTCAGACCAGGCTCATGAAGTCAGTAAAGCCCAGGAATACTAGGAGTGGGCACTGCTGGGGCCCACAGCAGGGGTGTGGCAGATGTGAGCTGGTAGGAGACCATACCCCACTGAGAAGATGGCAGTCTCACTCCCGCTAGGGCTCATCACCCTGATGTAAAGATGAACAAGTTCAGGCCTCAGGTGGTGAGGAAGGCTTGCCTGTGGCCAGGAGCAGAGAGGCCCAAGACCCCTGAGGCAAGAATGAGGCCAGCTGCTCCAGGCTCCCAGCTCTGCCCATCCAGGTGGAAGGTGCTGGCACACTGGGCATCTGGGTCCCCAAACCCACTGGCGCCTACACTGTCTGCAGATCCCCCAGCAGAGGCAGGCCAGGCTGAGGGGCGCAGTGCCTGGCCCCTCCTCTGAGACAGGTCTCACGGTGTCACCAGGGGTGGGCAACAGGTGCATCTGGGAAATGGGGGGCTGGACTCACGTCCTGGGTGAACAAGCAGCCAGATGGGGCTTGAGTGTGGGCCTGAGGCAGCTCAACTGTGACTGGCCACTGCTCTCTGCCCCTCAGCACAGGGTGGGTGGAACACACAAAGCCTGGCCACTACTGGGGGAAGACGTGCCAAGTGCTAAGCCTGTCCTCATGGGACTCATGGGCAGACATGGTGTGACTGCCAAGCCACACAGAGGCCTTATTTCTTCCTGCACCACGGACCACTGTGGACGTGGCAGGGCCAGGCACCCTGGCACAGCTGACCCACTGTGTCCTCTCTCTTCAGGTGTCTGTGATAAGGCCCCTGACTTCCTCTCCCCGTCTGAAGACCAGGTGCTGAGGCCTGCCTTGGGCAGCTCAGTGGCTCTGAACTGCACGGCTTGGGTAGTCTCTGGGCCCCACTGCTCCCTGCCTTCAGTCCAGTGGCTGAAAGATGGGCTTCCGTTGGGAAATGGGGGCCACTACAGCCTCCACGAGTACTCCTGGTAAGAGACCTGGGTATCCAGGGTCAGAGTGACCTCTCAGACATGCCAAGGGCAGTGGTCTCCCTGACCAATGTCTGGGTCTGTAACCACCTGGCCAGACATGACATGAGCAGAGTGCCTCTGTGGACCCAGATGGAGGGTCAGTGATGTCAGGGACAGACCCTCAGGTCCACATGGCCCCTGTAGACACACACTTTGTAACTGCCCAGGGCTATGGGTGTCAGCAAAGTCTAGGGCCTGAATGAACGCTGACCATCTGGCCAAGCCTGTGATCAGAGGACCTCCAGGCCCCAGACCCAGGACTGGGACGGCTGTTCTGAAACCAATCTGTACCGTACCTTCCAGGTTCAGGTCACTTCTCTTGGCTTAAGGCCCAAGAACCACCCAGGAGGCCCAATTCTGCAGCCTCCCTGGGCGAACCCAGACAGGTGGGGTTCTGGGGTGTCCACTGGTATCCACGGCCGACCCTGACCCTGGCTTGGTATCCCCAGGGACAAGGCCAACTTGTCAGAGGTGCTTGTGTCCAGCGTCCTGGGGGTCAATGTGACCAGCGCTGAGGTCTACGGGGCCTTTGCCTGCTCCATCCAGAACGTCAGCTCCTCCTCCTTCACTCTTCAGAGAGCTGGTGATGGGGGTTCCCCAGGTGGAGGGTAGGAGGGGACCTAGACCTAGTGAGGCCCAGGGACCTTGAGGCTTGGGGGCTGCTGGAGGGGCAGCGGCTCAGGCAGCCCATCGGCAGGCCCTACAAGCCACATGGCTGCGGTGCTGGCCTCCCTCCTGGTCCTGCTGACCCTGCTGCTGGCTGCCCTGCTCTATGTCAAGTGCCGTCTCAACGTGCTGCTCTGGTACCAGGACGCGTATGGGGAGGTGGAGATGAACGGTGCGTGGGGCCTGCGTGGACGCGAGGAGGGGTCGCCACGGCCTCCCTGAGATTGCGCTGCTGAGCTCAGCTTTGGAGGCGTGGGGCGGGGAGGAGTTAGCCCCAGGGGGCTCTGTGCGGGCCCGGCTGGGGTTAAAGTCCGGGGCGGGTCTGCCTCTGTGCACGTGGGAGATGGTTAGGGGTGTTGGGGAACCCGAGGGCTGGAGTAACGCCTCAGGAGCCACCGGGATGACTGGCCGCCATCCACAGACGGGAAGCTCTACGACGCCTACGTCTCCTACAGCGACTGCCCAGAGGACCGCAAGTTCGTGAACTTCATCCTGAAGCCGCAGCTGGAGCGGCGTCGGGGCTACAAGCTCTTCCTGGACGACCGCGACCTCCTGCCGCGCGCTGGTATCCCGGGCCCCGCCCACCCGGAGG